TTAACTTTTTGCCAAGGGATGTGTTTATGGGATGTTACTATATTAGAACAGTTAATTAGTAATAGGTACTGTATCTAATATTTGGTTAAGCTTTCGAGTAGTTAAGTTATTCTAAATTCCTCTTTCCTTTTTGTTTTAATTATAGTGGTTAAATAAATTTGTGTTTTACTTAACATCTAGTAGTTTGACCAGTACCATCACATCTTGAACATGCACTTCATATCTATCTTCAAAATATGAAAAAGTTATGGTCTAGGCTATCTTCTTAAAATATTTTTGAGGGGGTCTGGTCTGGTCCATAGCAATATTATTGAGCCAAGTATTCATTTTGATATTTTCATGCTGACTTCCTTTCTTGTTTTTATCTTTCTCCTGATTAACCTTTCAATCATTCTCTATCTTTCTTTATATTCTGACTAAGCATCCTACAGGCCACTCATTGTTGTACAGTTACATGATTCCATCTATAGTTTGATGCTTTCCTTCAGGTAAATTATAATCATCGACTTATAACGTTACTAGATAAAACTCTAAGCCCCTTTAAGAAGATCCCCTACACTCATAGAGGCGCACACAAAACAAAGGGTTTTATGAGCAGTGGACTAAGACTGGGAAGGCAGTTCAGTAGCCCCTGTGTGCAAGGTTCATTGGGATTAACCTTTTTGCTTGTCAGGCCTTCTTGCTCTTCAATCTTCCTTTCCTTTCACTTTGTCAATGATCTATGGAAGGGTGACCAGTTGTCAATTAGCTACTTGTTGCCCACTGAATCTCATTTTGTACACATTCTTTGGTTTCAGCTCATCTGAAACTAAACTTCTCCACTGCTTGAACAATCAGCATTTTTAATAACACTTACAATGCATGTCAGTTACCCGTTTTTAAAAAGTGTGAAATCCTTTCCACAGTCTGTGGTTTTCAATACAGTCCTTTCCCCATTTTGGGTCCATAATCAAAAGTATAGAAAAATAAAAATATATAGTCTTTCCACAGAGAGACAATTTTTAACCTCCTTTGTGATCTGGATCTTCAGAATTTTTCCCCTGTCTGTGTACCTTTCCATCCATAATAACTCTGTCAAGTCATCTAGCTCTTTTATGTTTTAATTATGAATGAGCATGTGTGTGTGTATTTGGAGTTTAAAGGGCTATAATTTTAGCTGCGCAGCAGTAGATTAGTAATCTTTTCTCTCCATTTGTTAAATTTAATTAGTTAAATTTCATTTTCTGCTAATGATAATACTTATTGTGCTCTGCTTTTGTTCAGAAAGCTGTCAGTAAGACAAATTGATGATCTCGATGGTCTGTTCATTGCTTGTTGAACAGTGAGGCACGATTATGCAGCCAATGCTGCACAACAGCTATCACATTGTATTAATTTACTTAAGTGTACACCAGCAATTTATTTACTTTTTATCTCCCAATCAAACAGCAGGTCATTAGCTTCTCATGGAATAACGATAATTGTTGTTGTAAGTCATTTTTTAGAAGCATTTACAAGTTTTCTCTTTCATTTTCCCACAATTATTTTAAAAAATCAGAACTTAAAAATTGCTTCTTTTAGAAATTGATTGCAAAGTTTAGAGATATTTTAAATGGCTTCGAATGAGTGAGCACTCAACCATCAACACTCAAGCATTATATATTGCAAGGACTTTTTTGAGTTTTACAGCCTACAGGACATGGACTGCAGTGGCTAAAGACAGCAGCACACCTTCACCTTTAGGGATGAGCAATGAATGTTGGCCTAGCTACCAATACCCATGATTTTTTTTAAAAATTGCACTTCAGTACAAGTCTGGTAAGGTCTTGTGTGTTGTATGTAGATAGCAAGATTAATTCGATGTACATGCATCTATGTTAGAGTTGCCTAACTCTTTCTTGCTGTACAAACTATTATACATTACACATGTGTTCTTCAACTTTGTTAAAGTTGATTTTCCACAAATATATACACCCACCTGAAGATACAATACTTACAATTATCATTTTTTATTCAGTCATGGGATGTCATAGAGTTGTACAGCATAGAAACAGACCCTTTGGTCCAACCAGTCCTTGTCAATCAGAATCCCAAACTAAACTAGTCCCACCTGCTTGCACTTGGCCCATATCCCTTCAAACATTTCTTGTTCATGTACTTTTCCAAATGTCTTTTAAACATGGTAACTGTACCCACATCCACCACTTTTTAAATCTATCTCCTTTCACCTTAAAAATATGCTCCCTAGTTTTGAAATTCCCCACCCTAGCGAAGACACCTGCCATTCACCTAATCTATACCCCTCATGATTTTATAAACCTCTATAAAGTCATCCCCCAATCTCCGTCATTCCAGGGGAAAAATGTCCAAGCCTATCCAACCTGTCCTTATAACTCAAACCCTCCAATCCCAGCAGCATCCTGGTAAATCTCTTCTGAACCCCCTCCAGCATAATAATATCCTTCCTATAACGGGGAGACCAGAACTGGACACAGTATTCCAAAAGAGGCCTCACCAAGACAACCTGTACAACCTCAACATACCGTCCCAACTCCCATACTCAAACCTTTGAATAATGAAGGTAAGCGTGCTAAATGCCTTCTTAACCACCCTGTCAATAAATGACACTGTTCAAAGAATTATGCACCTAAACCCCTAGGTCTCTCTGTTCTACAACAGTATCCAAGGAGCTACTTTTAATTGTATAAATCCTACTCTTGTTTGATTTACCAAAATGCAATGCCTCACATTTTATCCAAATTAAACTCCATCTGCCACTCTTCAGCCCATTGACCCAATTGATCAAGATCTCTATGTAATCTTAGATAACCTTCTTCTCTGTCCCCTATCCCACCAATTTTGGTGTCGTCCACAGATTTATTAACCATGCCTTTTATATTCTCATCAAAATCATTTATATAAATGGCAAACAAAAGTGGACCCAGCATCGATACATGTTGGCATTGCTGACTGGGCTAGCATTTGTGAACAAGGCCTAGTTGCCCTGGAAAAAGTGGTGGTGAGCTGCTTCTTAAACTGCTACAGCCCATATGCTAGACGTTGATCCATAATGCCCTTTCGGAACAAAGTTGAGGGATTTTGATCAGCATGGCTAAAGGAACAGTGATATATTTTCAAGTCAGAATGGTGGATGATTTGGAGGAGAACTGCAGGTGCTCCTATTTCTATGTTTGTGCTGCCCCTGTCCTTCGAGATGGAAGTGGTTGTGGGTTTGGAAGGTGGTGCCTTAGGATCTTTCCTGAATCGGCTGAATTTATTATAGATGGGACACAATGCTGGTATGGAGCAACAATAAAGGAGGAGGGAATGGATGTGGTGTCAGTCAAGTGGGTTGCTTTGACTTGGATGGTGTCAAGCTTTAGTTTTGCTGGACCTGCACTTACCTAGGCAAGTGGAGAGTATTTCATCACACTCCTGACTTGTCTTGTATATGGTGGACAGCCTCTGGGGAGTTAGAATGTGAGCTACCCACTGCAAGTTTCTGGTTCCTAGGTTCCTAGTTTCTGACCTGCTTTTGGAGCCACTATATTTATATGGCTAGTCCAGTTCAGGTGCTGGTCAATGGTAACTCCCAGGATGCTGATGGTGGGGGATTCAGTTATGGCAGTGCTATAGAATGTCAAGAAATGATAGTTTGACTCTCTCTTGCTAGATTTGGTCATTACCTGGTATTTGTGTGGCCTGAATGTTACTTACCAGTTTTCAGCCATTGCCTGGTTATTGTCCAGGTCTTGCAACATTTGGACATGGATTGCTTCAGTACCTGAGGAGTCACAAATGCATCTGAAAATTGTGTAAACATCAGAGAGCATCCCTGCTTCTGACTTTATGATGGTGAGAAGGTGAAACAGCTGTAGATGGTTGGCCCTACCTAGATCTACTAAGATGACAGGCCTTTTGCACTTGGTATGACTCCAACCAGCAGAAAGAGTATCTCAACCCCGACTCCCGACCGCCACCACCAATTTCCATTGACTCCAGTTTTGCTGGGTCTCCTTGATGCTACATTCAATGAAATGTAGCCTTGATGTCAAGGGTGGTTGCCCTTGCCTCACCTCAGGAATTTAGCTCTTTCATCTATGTTTGTATCAAGGCTGTAACTTGGTCAGGTGCTGAGTGGCTCTGGAAGAGCCCAAACTGCGTCCCAGTGAGCAGATATTTTACTGATTATTGAGAATAATCTGATGGGACAGAAATTGGATTTGTTTTGCCCTTTCTAAAGAAATGAGAATTTCTAATAAGTACATAAAAATGCATGAAGACATGGAAGATGGAGATTGTAAATTTCATTTGTTGCTTACGTAGTTTGCCAAATTAAGCCGTTTGATAAGTGAGCTGATTAACAAGAAATTACAGTTATACAAGAGGTGAAATGTCAGGGCATTGTTTACCCCACTAAATAAGTGAAGTATTAATAAAATTGACTCATCTTAGTACTATGGCTTATATTTTGGAATTTGTTTCAGATATTTCTGTAACTGAAATCTGCATTTTCTTATAACTGCAAATGAATGGGTGGCAGAAAACACAAATGACTATCAGAATAACTGATGTTCAAGGACAATAAGAGTATCAAATCAACAAAAGTATAAAAATAGCTACCGATAAAATGTTTGCTAGATGAGAATCTGCATAGTGCGTAAATGTCGATGAAAGCATTTGGAACAATACTGTTTTCTCTTTTGATCTTCCTGAAGTGTGAAGTATGCTGTTTACTAGAGGAAGTATACAGATCTCGACTGTTGAGGAAAAATGACCAGTTTCACCGTAATTTAAATTTCTATGAAGATATACTACAAATTGGGTTCTGAAGATGCTTCTTAAAATCCTATGAATAATATTATTGGGAGAGAGTTTCTCTAAGCCTCATTCATCCTGTTTCTTTAGTCCATTGGCAAAAAGTGATTTGTTGAACAATTGAAACTTTGCATGCAATTTTGACAGTTTAAAAAATGTGGGATATCTAATAAATTTTTTTGACTTATGTCTTTGAATTTCAGGGGACCATTCAGTGTTGTGCGACGATGTATCAACAGAGAAACAGGGCAGCAGTTTGCTGTGAAGATTGTAGATGTGGCCAAATTCACCTCCAGTCCTGGCCTGAGTACGGAAGGTATAGAAATTTATTATCTATTTCTAACTACAAGAGTATGAAATGTGATTTTTCTTGAAACTTAATTTCCTTCAAAAACAAACAAAATCTAAGAACTCTATTTAACTTGGGTCCTTTTGCCTTTCTGAATGTCTTGTTCATTATTCAAGATGGAGTGAACCATGTTCATGTCATCGATTGTTCTGGTGAATAAATAGGTCACTGCCATTGCCGACCTGTGCCCAGAAGATCCAATTGCAAATTGGATTGATAGCATAGGCAATTAGGCTTCCGATAAATCGGGGCTCAGTGTTTCCTATCGTTGAGTTATCTATCTTCTGTTATGCACTTATCTTTGAAAGAGGCAGCACTATTTTGGAATAGTTGCACCAGGCATAACAATTCGGACATCCACCCAAGCTCTCCAATGTAAGCAAAGGTCAGGCATTCTAACTACGTGACCAACTCAACCACTTGTGAATGTCATAATATGGTGGGGATTCTTGGTGTGTTAGCCCAAGTAAGCACCTTTATATTTTTATCATCTCCTATTTCTTCCTGCCACCCGATCTTCAGAAGCTTCTTCAAGGACCTCGGATGATTGAGCTGCTTGGCTGATGCTGGCGTGCAATTCAAGTCTCATGTAGAACACAGGAGGCAAAACTTTCAGTTTGCTGTGTAGGCTTCCTCTCTTCATTCCCAGATTGTTGAAGTCTGTCAACAACTGCACTCTTGTCAGCATGGATGACTTGTGAGCCTTTATTTTAAAAGCAATCAATTTAACCAGGTTTTCTGAATCAATAAAAAGAGTGAGTTTATTAATTAGTACCCATGGTAAGAAATTTAGTCCAAAAAGATTAAGGTTTAAAAAGATATATTAATCACTTACTGAATTGTTCATGAAGAGTTGCTAGTTGAATGTTGACCCTTTGCAGTGGAGGTTACTGGTAACGTTAACATTGGCAGTTAAACAGTTGGTTTCACAATCTTGAGTTTTGCTGTTTGATTAAGACTCTCTTTTTCTGATTCCTTTTGATGGTGATTAATTTCTACTGTTCAGGGTGAGAGAGAGTCCTTTGTTGTCCTGTTTTCCTTTAGTCTGACTGCTAGCAAGCTGACCTCCAGTACTGAGTGAGAGAGGTTCTTTATCTGTAACACAGGTGACCAGGGAATAGTTCTTTGACCATGACCTTCATAGCATGCTACTTCCCAAACTCAGACAGGTACTTCTGAGAATGTCCATGCCCGCTAGCATACTCCAGTGCAGTTGAAAGTATCTTTTTAATCCCCGTATTTATGTTTTTCAAGGGGACAGACACAAACTTTGGCTGCAGTTTGATAAATAACTTACAGGGACAGCTTGAGATCAAGCACAAGGTCAGCAGCCACTCATTTTCACACAAAGGGTCGTGAGTGCTTGGAATGTGCTGCTAGAGGAGGTGGTGGAAGCAAACACAATAGCAGCATTCAAGAAACACCTGAACAGATACACGAATAAGAAGGGAATAGAGGGATACAGATCCTGCAAGTAAAGACAGTTTTAGTATGGAAGGGCAAAATGGGCCAGTGCAAGTTTGGAGGGCTGAAGGGCCTGTACCTGTGCTGTTTTGTTCTTTGCAGTTGCAAGAGATCACAGTCCTCTCTGTTTTAATGCACCTCTTTGTCCATTCCCTTTTTGAAGGCTTTTGTTTCAAGTTCTCTTTGCATCTGAAAGTGTGACATTCTGTTAGTGTCTCTCTTGGGCACCCATTTAATTTATACCTGCAGTTACTTTGCCTCTGTATCAATCCCCCTTTTTTTAAAAAAAACACATTTTGGAATTAAGAACCAAAACCGCCCATAATATTTTGGCAATCCAACCCATTGTCATAACACTAGTAAAGCATTGTTTATTTCCGAGTTCACTTCGATTACAAAGTTTGAAGTTACACTGTGCATGTTCAAGAATATCTCTATATAAATCTATGTAACAAAATGTAAATTCTGTGAATTGTCACTATACTTTACAGACTTAAGTGAAATATAATCATTCAACACTACTTCCTGTTCTGACTCTTTACTAATTTTATACTCCTACAGCTTCTGTCCCTTAAATCCCAGGGGTTTTAATATTCATAACAATGTTACAATGCAGTACTTTAATACCTTCTAAAAGACCGTATGCACAATATCTTTTGCAGCATCTTTGTAAACTCACTTTCTTGTTACTTTAAGTCATATTTTACCCAACAAATCATGTTGACTTGCATTCGTTACCCATAATTTTTCCGAGTACCAACTAACTTTGGCCCAAAGTGTTCCCCACCATTGACTTTTGGTTGACTGATCTGTTATTCCAGGTTTGTCCATTTCCCTTATTTTTGATCAGGCTGTAAATTGGCATTTTTTTCAGTCCTTTGAAACTGTCCTTAAATCTAAGTAGGACTGACCAGTGACTCAGCAGTTTTCATTTTTACTTCCCTCCGTATTCTAGAATGCATCTTATCTGGGCATCATGATTTTTCTGAGCTCTCTCTAAGTGCTTATTTATCTATTTTATCATATCTAATATTATTACTACTTCCTCCTCAGCCACATTCATCTTCCTTAAAACAGAGGATACTAACAATGGAAAGTATGTATTTAGTATCTCAGATATGCTCTCTACTTCCCAAGAAAAGTCTTATATCCTTACTTTTCATTCTTACAAGATCCATCCTTACTTCGTGCATCCTTTTTCCTGTTTAATTTCGTAAATTAATTTTAGGTTACTTTTTATGTTAGCTACTTACAGGCCTTCGAAGTCCTTCTCTCCCCTATCTTGGTCTCCTGTATTTTCTGCTTTCCATACAAGTAGTTTCAGTTTTGGTGGCACATAAAATAAAGGCCAGTACATAGGTATTTAAGGACTGCAGGATAACTAATTTTTTGCAATTGAGCAAAAAGATATTGTGACATTATCCTGATCACTTGTGTAATGCGCCATTCATATAATCTACCACGTCTAGACGTGCATCCTCAAACAACATTGATGAGCAGTTTAGTCATTCACTCTTCTGTGATTAATATAGATAGAAACCTATTAGTTTGAAAAGAGGCTTTCGGACATTTCCCTCTGACTTGCATAGTGATCACACAAAAAAGTGGGAGTCTAAGATGTCTAGTCAGTCTCCCCCATTGCTGTCAGTTGTCGCAACATTTTTACTGGAACTGAAGAACTTGGCTACTTGCAAGAAATCTCTACTTTACCTGGAATAATCTGTTCCAAAGGATGGCATAACTCGTGGATTAAAACTTCTGAGATCATGCCTCCTGGCTTCCACTTTTCTCTGTTTGAAAAACATATTCAACTAGACAAGAATGTTTTCATGAATGTAAAAGCTTCATATCTCCCATAAGCTTGAAATGCAGAGAAATCTTGGTGTGCTAGTGCATGAATTATGAAAGGCTAGTATGCAGGTATAGCAAGTAATTAGGAAACTAATAGACTGTTATGTTTTATTGCAAAAGGAAATGAATGCAAGAGTAGGGAGGTTATGTTTCAGTTATACAGGACATTGGTGAGACCCCATCTGGAGTACTGTATATCGTATTGGTCATTGTACTTGAGGGGAGGTTAATGCATTGGAAGCAGTTTGGGGGAGATTTACTAGATTAATATCTGGAATGAGTGGATTGCTTTGAGGAAAGGCTAGGCCTATATCATCTAGAGTTTAGAAAAGTCTGTGAACTGAAAAATATAAAATCCTAAGGGGATTTGACTCATTGCATGCGGAAAGAACTTTTCTTTTTATGGGAGAATGCAGAACTAGAGGTCATGGTTTAAAAATAAGGGGTTGCCCATTTAAGATAGGTGAAGAAACACTTTTTTTTCTCTCTGAATAGAATAGCCTTTATTGTCACGTGCGCTCGAATGAGTGTAGTCAAAAATTTGTAATGTCGCAGCTTTGGTGCCGTCTTATGTACAGGACACCTAGGTATAGATACTTAAGTGTTTGTTATAGAATTAAAAGAGTAAAAAAACAAAGTCTGGCATGGGAATACAACGTTTTAAAAAGTACTTGAATTACTCAAAGTCCAGAATAAAAATAAAAGTATCTTTAAAAAGTACTCAAATTACAGTCCTTTTCACTGAGTCCTTGCCCACTGGGCTTCAGAACTTGAGGCCTCGCTGCTTCCTCGCGCTGGCCTCCGGTCTGTGACCCGCCAACAGGACTCGTCTCTGCTGGGCTCCAGCCTGTGACCTCGCTTCTAGGACTCGCCTCCCAGGCCAGCCTGGGTTTGGACTGCTTCCTGTGCTGGGCCCCGGCCCGCGACTTGCCTCCGGGACTCGCCTACGGTGCCAGCTTGGACTCGGGCTTACCTCCTTCATTCCCTCTGGGTAATTTAAGAGGCTAAAAGTTGGTGGTGAGGGGAGGGGAAGAAAAACTGCAGAAAAGAAAAATAAAAGGAAAAGGAACTGGCAAAGCAGAGGAGCTCTTGCTGGAGCATCCTACTCTGCCACTATCTTGCACCTTGAAAATTTGAGTGTCTTTGGAATTCCCTTCCTTAAAAGGCAGTCAGTGCAAAAGCTTTAAATATTTATAGGGCAGAGGTAGATAGATTTTTGACTACCAAGGTGATGAAAGATGAACAGGGACATGGAGGAATGGAGACTTGATGTTAAAATCAGATCAAGCATAGTCTTATTGAGTGGTGGAGCAGGTTTCAAGGACCAAGTGGCCTACTCTTCTTCCTTGCTTGAATGTTTGTATAACTCTGTGTGTTATCAATGAAAATAACTTCCAACTCTTGAAAGTTGTCATGCTTCCTTTATTACATTGAGAATCCATGATTGTCCACATGTTGTTTCTACACCACAAACAAATTGGATCCATGACACCACGACTTCCATGTACCCCACCAAGTCACGTGCTACCCTGTCTTGGAACCTTGTTGCAGTCCATTCATTGCTGCTGGTTCAAAATCCTGGACCCCCTCTCAACAGCTCTGTATATACCTACGCACTATAGTTGGCAGCAGTCAAAGAAGCTAGTACGCCA